GTGTCAAAGAGCTTCATAGAATTTACTGTAAAGTGGTTTGACAGTTGTGCCCAGCAATGTCCCACAAATAGCCATGGAGTGAGTAATTGATCTTATTTGGGGGATTTTTGGTCTGGACACTGGTATAGAGAAACTCCCTTCTCTTTTCGAATACTGCCATGGGATCTTTAATATCCGCCTGAACAGGCAGACAAGGCCTCGATTAACATCTCATTCGAAGGACGGATGGTTAACTTAAATTTACAGAACTGCCAACCCAAAGTCTGTTGGTGCAGTACAGTATTTCTGCCATGGGAGCTGAAGAAGCTTGTTCCTTCTTTCTGCATTTCGGCTGTACACAGGCAGTTTGCCATTTCACGCAAAACAACAACTTACATTTATATTGCGCCCTTCACTTGGAGTGCTTACAAAGAACAATTCTGGGAATCACTTCCCACCAGGAGGCAACTGGTTGCGTCCAACAGCTTTTAGCAGTGGATTGCTGTGAGCACTGCAGCAAACCTGACTGTAACACTGACTGTACCTTGACATTCTGCAATATGAACAAGGCAGCATGTCTTGTGGTCACTGAGGATCTTGAGGCAGCAAACTGAATGGTGCCCCTTTCAAAACCAGTACCATCATTTCCTGGCTGGTCAAGCTCTCAGCCCTGACACAGCAGGGAAGGTTTGTGGGCAGAAAAGGGCACAATTAATGCTTTTGAAACAGTGCAGTGGCCCCACAATTACTGCTTGAAGCAGCTTCATGGAGCCCACAGTAGATAGCCAGGGTCAGATCTTCATTGCCAACAGGTTCCTGTTCATCATGCCAAACCCACAATCTTTTTGTCTTTTTGTTCTTCATCGATTGCAGCTTTGATACAGTTTATGCATATTCGCTACCGCCATTTGGTAGATACAGATGATTGCAATTCCTTTCAAATGATCAAAAGACAGGGGAATATACTGAACCATGATTCTGAAGTGGCCTGTTCCTAATGTAGACCTAGAGTGGGAGCTGACACATCCCTTTGGAAATTGGAAAAACTCGGTTCATCTATTAAAGGGCAAAGACGAACAGATGTGCCATTTTCCATTCTCCTACGCATTCTTCCACCAGCATGACAGGCAAGAGGCTACCATCTGTTACGAGTCCACAGGAAAATATGAAACTCACCTAACTTGGACAGTGTGACTGAACCTGAACAATACATTGACTGCAATCCTCTGGGAAAAAAACATTCTTAAGATCCTTTAAATGAAATAAATAAGCCAAAGTCATGCTCCAGAAAGGAACATCGTTATCTCATAATTTGCTACACATACCCCAATTCCAGCACACACCTCATATATGCATTCACAACACACACATGGATCGATATTTTGGACTTCTCCATTCCCAGTAGATAGAACCAACAGTCAGCTATTTGTGTGCAGGAGAAAAATTAGCATGGAGATCTGATTAGAAACTGAGCAGCGACATATTCTGGACTTTCAGTGAATGTGGAAAGGTTTACTGTTCTGGTGTCAGGGGGTCTGACACTTAGATGAATTCACAAGCGGAGCACTGCAGTATTCTACAGGCATTTATAAAAGACACTGTAGTGGGTTTAACCAACAATCAGGAGCATGACTTTGTAGTTCAAGTCTGAATCATCAGTCTATCTTGTGAACAATTACCACTCAGATTTCGTTTTCACATTTAGTTTTAAGCAAATACATTGGAAGCATTAACATTAATGTAGGTGTAGGACTGTATACACAGTCATTACCATCACAGGTCAGCAGCCTTTTCTTTTGGAAAAGTCTTAAAATATTCACGATTCTGCCCACACAGATAATATCCGAGTCTGCAACCCAACATTGAAGCAAACAGATTAACATTGTGCTACCACTGCAGGGCATAGAAACGGCATGAGGAGGGAGGAATCTCACAGACTGGGATCTAGTGTGTGTATATATGTGTATATGCATGTGTGTGGGCGGGGACATAGCCTGGGAGCCACAGATCATGGTTTACTGACTACTGGCACAGAGGAAGGTCCATTGATAACTGGCATTGAATCGAGGCAGACCACACATCATTTAATGCATAGGAACAAAATGATATGAAACTATAACTCATTACTCCCTGCTCACTGTTTCATACATAAATTGTAATTTTGGAGAATAGCAGCAACGGTGCTGTCAGAACAGGTACAAGTCAATAAGTGCCACTCTCCCAGGGTTACCCATACACACAACCATAGAAGCACTGGATCAATACAACAGTTCTTCCTGCTGTACAACAACAACAATAAAACAACAGAATTTCATTTGTATAGCGCCTTTCTTGTCTGGAGGATGTCCCAAGTGCTGGATAGAGTTTTGGACCTGATTTAGGGGTCGGGGTCGGTGGAGGATGGGGGGGAGAAGCACGGAGATTGAAAGCACGGACGAAGAGGAGGGTCTTGAGATTTGTCTTGAAGAAGACAAGGGAGAGGGCGAGGCAGAGGGACTGTGGGATGGAGTTCCCGACGGTGGGGGCAGAGTGGCAGAAGGCCCACCCGACAATAGTGGGGCGAATGAGGTGGGGCATGTGAAGCAGGCCGGAGCCCGCTGAGCAGAGGGAGCGAGCAGGATGGTAGACCATAAGACCATAAGATGTAGGAGCAGGAGTAGGCCATTCAGCCCCTCGAGCCTGCCCCACCATTTAATAAGATCATGGCTGATCTTCTAACCTAATTCCATTTACCCGCCCTATTCCCATATCCCTTAATCCCTCTATCCTTTAGAAATCTATCAACCTCAGTCTTGAATATGTTCAAGGACTGAGCATCCACAGCCTTCTGGGGTAGAGAATTCCGTAAATTCACTACCCTCTGAGTGAAGAAATGTTTCCTCAACTCAGTTCGAAAAGGCTGACCTTAGTCTTGAGACTATGACCCCTAGTTTTAGATTCTCCAGCCAGGGGAAACTGTCTCACGGCATCTACCCGGTCAAGACCCTTAAGAATCTTAAAGGTTCCCATAAGATCACCTCTAATTCTTCTATATTCTAGAGAAGATAGGCCTAGTTTACTCAACCTATCCTCATAGGTCAACCCCCTCATCCCAGGAACCAACCTAGTGAATCTACGCTGCACCCCCTCTAAGGCGAGTATGTCGTTTCTTAAATAAGGAGACCACAACTGCACACAATATTCCAGGTGCGGTCTCACCAAGGCCTTATGCAACTGCAGCAAGACTTCCCTACTCTTGTATTCTAACCCTTTTGCAACGAACGCCACATGGCATTAGCCTTCCTAGTTGCTTGCTGTACCTGATCACTAACTTTTTGTGACTGGTGTACAAGGACACCCAAATCCCTCTGAACACTAACACTACATAGTCTCTCCCCCTCTAGAAAATAATCCACTTTTCTATTTTAACTATCTAGGTGAATAACTACACACTTCCCCACATTATACTCCATCTGCCACCTTCTTGCCCACTTATCTAGCCTGTCTATTTCCCTTTGCATTCTTCTTGTGTCATCCTCGCAGCTTACTCTCCCACCTAGCTTCGTATCGTCCTCAATTCAGATATGTTAAGTTCTATTTCCTCATTTAAACCATTGATCTAGACAATAAATAATTGAGGTCCAAGCATTGATCCTTGAGCACTCCCTAATGGTAGGGGGTTAGGAGGTCGCAGAAGTAGGGGGGAGCAAGAACATGGAGGTCTTTGAAGGTGAGGACCAGGATCTTGAACGGTATCCGCTGTACGATGGGAAGCCAGTGGAGTCTGGCGAGGATGGGGGTGATAGGGTCACGGAGCCTAGTGTGGGAGAGGACCCGGGCTGCAGAGTTCTGGATACTCTGCAGCCTATGAAACGAGGAGTTGGAGAGGCTGACAAGCAATGAGTTTGCATAGTTGAGCTTCAATGTTATGAAGATGTGTTTGAGTGTTTCATCGGCCTGTGGTGTGAGACAGTGGTGGAGCCGGGCGATGTTACGGAGGTGGGGGAAGGCAGAGCGGGTCATGGCACGGATGTGGGATATGTGGGATAGTTGAGGGTTAAACAAGACGCCAAGGTTCCGAACTGGCTTAGCAAGGTGGAGTGTGCAAGGTAAGGTGGAGTCTGTAAGGTTCATGCCCCCTCCATACCAAGACAGAAGGTGTTAATAACAACAACAGCTGGGGAATAAAATTGTAGTTTGACAGTGCTAGAGAGAACAATGTCATTGTAAAAGAAGAATACTAAAGAGAATTACAGTTTGTCAGGTTTACAAGTGATTTGCTTAATGTTGGTATCTGGTACTTGGTTTCTCATTTCAAATGGGTACTCTCAACAACCGTCATACAAGAGACCCAATAGTTACTAACAGGAAGAACCCCCTCCATTTGTTCTCTCTCAATGTGCACTCAATGCTGACTCCCTCCAATAAGTGTCACAACTTTCAGCAGTTTGTCACTACCCAGTTGCATCCAACAGCACCACTGGACCCCACTTTGTTTCTTACAGAGAAAAACTCTTATTGCTGCCCCCTACGTCCAGGCCCCTAAATAATAATAATTATCCTTGCATTTGATATAGCACCTTATCATCTAGTCGAGACGTCTCAAAGCGCTTCACAGAATAAAGCACTCCCTTGGAGCAGAACTCCCATAAGTTCCTTAAATCTCACTCAGACAGTACAGCTCTCCAAGCCAATCTAGTGTTACAAGGTTATCAGTGTACAAGTAACATACGCTTTACCAGTGCTAGACTGCGTCACACAAGCTCCTGGGCACTGCTTTCTATCCACTGAAAGCTATATAGGTTTGAAACCCAAAACAATTCTCTTCATAACCAAAATTCATCAATTGTATAAAAAACCCAGAACACACAACACTATTGCAACAGCATCCATGATCCCAACAGCATATCAACTAGCCATCTCATTGCTAGTCGTTTGTGTGCCTGGGTTCACAACTGGTATGGAATCATGTCATGCAGTAGCCCATTCAGCAGCTACTGTGAAACGTTTATTTCTTCATTGAAATAAAGTCTTTCCCTTACCTGTAGAAATAGGAGCAGCCTCGAACTGTATTGTGAGTGAAGTGTTCCTGAGACTTTTCATTTCCAAAGTCCTCTAGCGGGTCTGACCAGAGTAGGTCACACATAGGCCCATATGCAGGTGGTTCTTTGAATCTGTCTAACTAAAGAGAGGGGAGAAAACACAGAAAATAAAGCTCAGTACATAACCTCCTAGCAAGTTATATAAACGTATCAAACCATCAACTTGGCAAGGGTAAAAGAATCAGATTTCTAGTTTGACTGGTGACAAGCTTTTTTTAAAAAAAATTAACTTCTCAATATTGTGTTGTTGTAAGAAACCTGCGGTAAAAATATAAAATAAATCCTTGCATTTGATATAGCACCTTTCACATCAGGAGGAGTTACTAAAAGAGTTACTGTAAAGTGAAGTAACTGTGTATATTGTAGGTGTAAAAGGTTTGATCATGACCATTTTCTGGTACTTGTGGTCCTATGCAGAGAAAGCCCACCTTGCTCTAGATTTATTCCATTTCTGCAATATTTAAGAGAGTTCAGAATTGAGTAAATTATTCAATTCGCTCAGTCACAGTGTTTTTCTCCCCAGATCTGCTCTGCTTAATTATTTTTTTTGATCAGCCTGGTGTCTGACACATGTGGAAATCCATCACCATGCTTAAGAGTATCCAAACCAAACTGAGATTTCAAGAACTCAGGAGCTGGCTCAGACTCAGGAACTGGACTACTGAGACCGTCACAGAGAGCTGGCTCGATTCCGACAGTTCCCTGCATCCCACTTCCACATAGAAATCCCAGAGATAGATTGTTGGAATGGAATGCACACCCTCTCCCTCCAGGGACTCATCCTGCTTACCTAATTCCAAAAAGTACTAGGCACAGGTTGGCAAGAGCCAAGGCTTGGAGACCCCAGAGTGCATGTTGTGGTAACTGCTGGAGTCCAACCAGCTAAACCCGCATAGCTTGCCATTGATATTGCTGTCTGGCAAACTTTCCCGCTCCTTGTCCAGCTAGGACCACCCTACCTGTTAGGGCTATGTCTTGATGGTTAACAGGAGCTGAGTGGGAGGATTTCTTGCCAGGCATGGAATGTTGGAATCGAGCCAACCCGCTGCCTAAATAATGACAGAATGGGGGCAAAGGATAGGAGCAGAGATGCCAGACATTCAGGTCAATTTCCAGGCTCTATTTATTCCATCAAGAAGGGAGGAATGAATCCCACGGTAATAATGTAATAATAATCATCATCATTATCATATGGTTCTGCTTATATTGAGATGTTTAAATTCACAGGCTCGGCTGCAATAAAAGCGAACCTGATGTTTGAGCGTCCTAGCATTAAAGGAAGCAATGCCCTGCCAAAGTTTAAGAGCAGACAAATAGCATTCTTCCAGTCAGAGAATGTTTTCTATTTTCAAGTAATTTTAATTAGAGACACTGCTCTCCAACTCACCATAAAGAACACAAGATCCCATCAAGTGTTTCATTTAATGTGCATTAAATTGCGTAATATATTAAGAGTTGAACTGCACACTAGTTTAAAAAGAGTTTAAATTAGCACATTAATGCTAACAACAACAACTTGCACTTATATAGCCCCTCCACGCAGGGTAGCATCTCAGAGCACTTAACAGTGGTGGAGCCTGACTCCGAGCTGCGGGGAAGTGGTCATAAGCACAGTCGAAGAGTAAAGTTTTCAGGCGGGACTTAAAAGAGGGAAGAGAGAGGCAAGATAGAGGGATTGAGGGAGAGTGTTTTAGAGTTCCGGGCATAGTGGCTGAAAGCGTGACCTCCGAAGGTGGGGCGGAGGGTGCAAGGGACGAGCAGTAGGCCGGTGCCGGTCAAGCGCAAGCGCCAGGTGGTGGATTGGGGGGTGAGGAGATTGGAGAGGTTGGGAGGTGTCAGGGAGTGAATGGATTTGAGCACAAGTGTGAGAATCTTGAAGTCATTCCGTCCGGTGATGGGGAGCCTGTGGAGCCGGGCCAGAACTGGTGAGATGTGGGTTCAGAGATTGGTCCGGGTCAGTATGCGGGCGACAGAGTTTTTCGTGAGCTGGATCTCATGAATTGTGGAGCTGGGGAGACCGGAGAGGAGTGAGTTGGAGTAATCCAATTTTTCCAATTATTTTTCCAGTTATACTGCTTTAAGTTCAGTAAGTAACATATACAATTTGGACATACTGTATTACATAGAAATAACACAACACAACTAGAGTCTAAGATTACCTGCTTATTTGATTGAGAACACTGCCCTTCAATTCTGAACCTCAATGTGCAGCCTAAGGTTGGGTAGAAAGTCCACCACAGGGTTTAGATTTATTTGACTGACCTAGCACTTCAGAACATTCAGATTTGGCAGTTTTAATTTGGAAGCCGGTTTTCTGTAAGTTTCTGTCGAGAAATACAAAACAGAGACTTCAAAGTTAAGATTGAATTCAACAATGTGACAAAATCTGGGAGCTCTGAAATGTTAAGTCAGTAGAATAAATCTAGATGCAGATGGAACGTGTTTTCTCCTATTTCACAAATGCATGGATTGCTGTGATTGCAGGTACAACCCAGCTAACCCAAGGGTCAGAGTTGACTGGAAAGTAACATGGAAATTCAATTAAACAAGACAGACACACCCAGTGCACAACACATAGCACATCACACACTAATACATTTACTAGATCCTGTGCACTTGCTATGATCAACATCCTGTTTTTTCATGTCAGAACTCCCTGCTCAGGGTACTTGCATTACGTCTGTTGCATTTGTGCCAGAAACAAACTAAAAGCTTATTTATAACCTAATACCCCTGAACTATAGAAATCATTGTTTGTGTTTGCTGACAGCCATTAACTCTTTAATCTCTATAAAAGCCACATGCAAACACTTTAAGACGTTTGCTAATACATCAATAGAAATAGCATGTTTTGTTATCTCCTCCCAAGTCCTCTTAAATGTCTGTAGCATGAGCGCTGTCAACACCTCAAACTGGCATAAACCGAACAAAATATTACAGAGGGATTAAGGACTGGGTGTATAATTACATGGAGATACTCTTATGGGTACAAACTGTGCCTTAACCTTCCTCGTCAGCAGTGTCAGGATTTTCCATTATAAACAAGGGAGGATTTCAAAGCTACTTATGGGTGGGAAATGGATTCAAACAATCATGTATGTGGAGTCCTGTAGCTCACTGGTTAGAGCACTCGCTTTGCAAGCGAGAGACCTGAGTTCAATTCCAGGCAGGGCGAAACCTTGGGCAAGTTTCCTTACTCCACACGCCTAATAATAATCCCTCCAAAACCCAAAACAATAATAAAAATTGGTCATTTACAATCTACAACTGTTTGTGGGACATTGCTGTGCGCAATTGGCTGCTGCGTTTGCCCACAAATATACAGTCAATTCACTTTACAGTGTGCTCTGTGAAGCGCTTTGGGACGTCCTCCCGACGTGAAAAGCGCTATATCAAATGCAAGGATTATTATTATTATTATTATTATGAATCGCTGATAAAGCTTAGAAACTGGATGGACAGCTTTGCAAAATTATATACGAACAATCATTATTAATTATAATTTCTGCCAGACTGAAATAAAAGTAAAAGCATGTTTGCACTGCAAAAATATTAAGGCAAATTAATTCCGACTACTGCCAAATGCTGCCTAGAGCTGCCTAAAGCCCCTGGAGGGCTTTGAAGGTGAGGACCAGAATCTTGAACTGTATCCTCTGTGTGATGGGAAGCCAGCTGAGTCAGGCGAGGATGGGGGTGATGGGGTCATGGTGTGGGAGAGGTCACGGGCTGCAGAGTTCTGGATGATCTGCAGCCTATGGAGGGAGGAGCTGGGGAGGCCGACAAGCAGGGAGTTTGCATGATCGAGCCTAGATGTTATGAATGCGTGTATGAGCGCCTCGGCGGCCTGGTGTGTGAGACAGTGGCAAAGCCGGGTGATGTTGCGGAGGTGGGGAAAGGCAGAGCAGGTCATGGAACGGATGTGGGGTAGAAAGAATAGTTGAGGGTCAAACAACATGCCTGCAGTACACTTCTGTTTTTATGTCAATAAATTTAGAACCAGCTGCATAAAAGACACTTCTCAGCCTTCTGTTACAGTTTAACTCTTTGCATAAGACATATGAAGTAGGTTTTTGTCACGAGACATCAGAAACAAAAAAAATCTCAGGCACAGCCATCTAAACAGTTAACGTACTGTAGATATTAAATAATTCAAACCTTCATTCACGCTAAAGAACTTCAATAAATCTGCACAAAATAAAACAAACTCATAAATATTGATGGTTTTTCAGATTGCAAGTCTGGCAAAGAATTACCATCACTCAACACATATACCAATGAATAAGTAGGACAAGCTCTGAAGTAAAAAAAAGCCTGCAGTCTTCAGTACATCTGGATAACTAATCTTCAGAAAATCGGACAAAACATTTGACTGGAATTAGTCAAAGAATACAGGCTGCAGGTAATTTAATTATTTTTTTTACAGTTACTAATGTGTCTATTTTAACCAGACTAAGTTTAACCATTCAGATACAGATGTACCGTTACAGATGTATCTAGCTAAAAGCAGAATCTAGGTGGAATTAAAAAAGATCCATATTTCCAACACATAAACGCTGAGATCAGTGGTGGAGCCAGTGAGGGGTCGCGGGGGGGCTCATGAACCCCGCCGCCCCTTCCAAAATTAATTTTGAGATTGGTCAATTTTGTATGTCAGTCATCCCAAACTGACTGCAAATAATTTACTTACTTTTAAATTCCCGATTGCGTTGCTGTTTTGAATCTGACACAAATGGCAGGGTGGCATTGGAGGGCATCATCGAGGCTATGCTGTGCGTGCAGCCGCGAAGCATTAGCTCTCCGGTCCACCTCCGTTTCCTTAGAAACAGAGGCAGAGTTAGGAGGAGGAGGAGACAGAGGGGTGGAGCCAAGTTGGCCAAATCTTTACTCCGACCCTCTTCAATCCTTCAACCTTAGCTCCGGCACTGACTGAAGTCAATGATGGACCCAATATTCAGACCCTATTGTTATTAATTTGAATGGGAGAGAAAAAAGAGGTTGAAACATTACCGTTCCATTTTAATCTCAATGAATATTTTCACCACCACTTACAGAGAATGGTTTATGATGGCTAAGAACATGTCATCCTGATTGATGGCCATTCGCTCACTCCCTCCCACCGATCCCCTCCCCATCTATTCCAGACCCCAAATAATTTTTCCACAATGTTCCAATCCCATTACAGGAACAGAGGTGCTCCATGCAAGCTCCTGATACAACTAGAAACTCTCACCCACTTTGTTTAAAGTGTTACAATCGTTGCTGAAGATTTGCAGAAACATGTTGAGACTTGCTCTGAAAATTTCACTCTGACCTTGGATTGCAGCGTTTTCACTGGAATCATCTCAGTGCAAATTGGCTGCTGCGTTCGCCTACAAATACAATTACTTTACAGCAATTCCCAGTGAAACACTTTGAGATGTTTAGACGCTATAGGTGCTGCATCGAATGCAAGGATTACCTTATCATTCTAAGTTCATTATTCCATTTTACACACGATTACATTAAGCAGAGCTTTACAGCAATTACTTTGAAGAAGTCAGTCATCACACACATTATCATTACAAGCCATAAAAGAAGCCTTTAATGCAAGATGTTCATAAATGACATGGCAATCTTCTACGAGATAATCACTAGCCACACTTACTTTCTTGATATCATCTAAGGTGTTAACCTCAGGAGAAAGGCCTCCATGTACACACAGGAACTGTTGGTTCATCAGTGCAGCCAATGGAAGGCAGTCAAAGGCATCCATGCACGCATCATATATTCGTTCTGAATATTTAATTTTACCTTTCGAAGAGAAACAAACATGCATTTTGTCAAAATTTCAGGAAGGAAACCATACATGCTCAGCAAAAAATAATTCACAAATATTGCAATTCAACAACACTGTTTTGGATCATGCACTTTGGATCTTAACATTTGCTGCAGGTTGGACCCCATAATTCTTGTTGCTCGGTTTCAAAGTGCAGTATTTTATCAAATATTCAGTGCAAGTGACAAAATATGCAGCTGCATAGTGAGGAGAAACAACCACAAATAGTACAATATAATTCTTTCAGTGGCTGAACCAAACCAGCGCTTTGGGACGTTCTTCCGACTTGAAAGACACTCTATAAATATAATTTTGATGTTGTTGTTGTTGATGTATGAGTGCCCAAATAAAAAAAACAGACACCATAAATAATCTTCATTGTCTTCAAACAATAGCTTCAACATCTTCAACAATGAAAAATTGCTGAGGACATGTGAACTCCTTCATTTCAGCATTTAATGCTGTGAACTTTGGAGCAAATTCAGCCGAACCCAGCAGTTTATCAGAGTTGTTCTGCCTGTTACTCGCTGCATTTTTGGAGTGTCTCTGACAATTGGCATTGCACAACCCACTGAGCCACTTTCAATGGAGAAATAAGCAAGGCAGTCAATGCTGAGGCTGCGCACGTGATAAACAGCCCAATCTTTTTTGTGTGGCACTGAAAGTTAGTTTAACCGGGTAGAGTAACAGATGACTATTGAAACGTCTAGTTATTTCATTACCTATTTGATACCAGATTAAATGTACACGATGTACAATGGTTGGTAGCTGTACAAATTGCTGCAATTGTGCAAGGACCATTCATATTGTAGGTAGGTATTTGTGAGATTCCTTTTAGTTAAAACAAAATGCAAAATACTGCAGATGCTGGAAATCTGAAACAAAAACAGAAGATGGTGGGAACACTCAGCAGATCAGGCAGCATCTATGGAGAAAGGAAAGTGAGTCAATATTTCGGGTTCACGACCCTTCGTCAGGACTCAACTTCGACAGACCATTCTGACAAAGGGTCGTGGACCTGAAATGTTGACTCACCTTTCCTTTTCCATACATACTGCCTGACCTGCTGATTGTTCCCAACGACTTCTGTTTTCTACTTTTTAGTTAATTCATTCGCATCCACATGTTAATTAATGTAAGCACTTTCATCTTTCCTGTTCTTTTTAAGAAAAATGTACATGGTTTCCAGTCACGACACACAAGCTGTATAACTGCTGCAAACAGTACATCTCGCAAATAAATGTTTCTTGTGGGGGCTGAGGGTAGAATGTCTTACTCACAGAAATTGTAGCATCTCTGGGCAGACAAGTGTGAGATCAGCATGTTGCCACCCAGCATGTACTCCATGCAGAGCTCATTATAAACTCCGGAGGAGGAAATTTTTAGAATATCACTATCCGAGTACTCAAACCAAAAGGGATATTCCATATTTGTGATACAATCACAGATTGTGTGCAGTTCCCACAGCGCCCCTTGATCTCACTCTGTTGTATCTATTGTTTTCTCATGTCTTCCACCTCCCCAGCTGGACAGACCAATTCGGGAGGAGGGTGGGGCGGTTGGTTCTGCGAGCCGAAGTTTCCGACTAAGTGTAATTACAATGGCAAGGCTGCTCAGCATGGCGTTGGTGTGCGTCAGGAGAGTGGTCTGACAGGAGTTTACAAGCAGCCACAGGGATTTTTTTTTAAAAAATTGTTTTTGAGCCGATTCCTGCTAGGTTCAAATTCCGTCTGGTAAAATGGGGATTACTGAATTTCCTTCCCTTCCATTATGACGTGAACAGTTTTTGCTCCAATGTGTTCTCTGAGTTGCCACATCCATTACTCTCTTGCTCGCTCACTGCTTTGTTCTCTTCTATGCATTTAAACAGGAAAACTTAATATCCCCCAAAATAAACACCGCGGGTCACCTCAGGATTATTTCAGATTGCAAAAATATAAACTGATAAATGGAACCAATCGAGCAGGAGAACAAAAAAATGGACGGTTCAAGGCCTCATGCCTCATAAGCTATGAATTTAATTTTCATTGAATAAAAGAAAATAAGGAACATAACATAGGTGTTTGAAAAGCTGAGCAATATAAACAAATTAGACCTATAACCAAGCTATTTAATTTGATTTGCAAATGTAGAACTACTGTATAGTGTTTATGCAGCAGACACAAGAGGACTGGGATTAGAAAAAAAATTGTGTTTACCCCACATGGTGATGGATAAGTGAAAGAACTCCCAAATAAAGCAGGTAATACTGAGTCAATAGTTGAGGGAGGGATTTGCCCTGTAGGTAGACAGCCACTTCCTCGATGTCCGTGGCCCCAGATATAGCAAAAGGGAAGGTTTGAAGATGGAGGATGATAGCCATTTTGTCCCCACTCTACAGAACTCCATCCCGGTGTCCCTCCGCATCTCCCATTTTAAAGTCCTCTTTAAGACCCATCTTTTCAGCTCAGTGATTCCCCCTCCCCAATTAGGTAAAGGGAATGAAATGGTCAATGTTGCCTGCACTCACAAATGGAGTGCCCAAACCAAAGGTGGACATCCCACACAGGGAATATTCACATTCTACGCTGTGGTCCTGGCATTAGAGAAGCGTTCCGATATCTGCAGCCGCCAAGAGAAATTGATATTTTGCTCTCTCTCTTTCAAATTGCAAATATTCAGGATGGAGCCAGTGCCCAAAACAAAACCGTCTGCTCCAATTATTTAGATGCTATTATTTCATCCAAATTAAATTTATATCTGCTTGCAGAAGACTTCAGACAGTAATACAGATAAGTTTCATGGACTGCCTGGCCTCACCATCGCAAGCCTCATATTCCAGTATTAGGTGAATATGCCACCACAACACTTTAAAAGCATTTCAACCATTCGGGAATGTCAAGATTGGGAAGCCTGGTTGCAAACAGTAGTTGGGGCCTGAGAGCAGTTGCGCACTGGAGGCACAAAGCACAAGATAATTGGACAGTGCAATGACCTTTTGCCGTGTCATAGGCGACATTGAAATCTAATCAAACTGCAGGATTCTCAAGTTGACAAGTTTTCTCAAGTCACCTTTGTGAAGCACATGTAGTGGAAGAAGTGGCAGCACTGATTACATTGGGATATTTTATTTGTATGCAATTTCAGGATTTGCTCAGCCCGCAGGTTCCTGTGCACCACTTGCTGGCTGAGAAGCCAGGTAATTGTCAGGCTGCTGACAATATGATAACTGTCTCCTGGAACCATCTCCCGGACATTGCGTGAGCAGAGCCCAGGTCGAGTGATTCACGTAACTTCTGGGGTGCAGTAGATTTAGTGGAGTCCTGTAGCTCAGTGGTTAGAGCACTCGCTTTGCAAGTGAGAGACCTGAGTTCAATTCCAGGCAGGGCGAAACCTTGGGCAAGTTTCCTTACTCCACACAGAGCCTAATAATAATCCCTCCAAAAACCAAAAACAATAATAAAAAATGGGTCATTTTCAATCTACGACTGTTTGTGGGACATTGCTGTGCGCAATTGGCTGCCGCGTTCGCCCACAAATATACAGTCAATTCACTTTACAGTGTGTTCTGTGAAGCGCTTTGGGACGTCCTCACGACGTGAAAAGCGCTATATCAAATGCAAGGATTATTATTAATGGCAAAGCAATGTTGCATTTGTATGAAGTTTACAAGACTGTAGAGACACTGCAGATGAGAAAAACAAGAATGATCCCCATTGTTAGTTATTTCAGAGTCTTGGGATGTTCTCCGGCATGAAAGGCAGTTTAGACATGTAATTTGCTGTTGTTTGTGTTTGAGAAATGAGCTATCAGCACCAATTGGACAACCTAAGGCTCTTCAGTGTTGAAAGGGGATGACTCAGACCTTATGTGCAAAATCCAGAACAATATTTTTGGCTGCATTGAAACTGTACAAGAAGAGGATACAGATTTAGAGTCGCAAAGGACAACTTCAGGAACAGGCACCAGGAAGCATTTCTTTATTCAGAGGGTAATTAACGACTTGAACAGGTTGCCAGTAAGGGTGGTTGAGACCAAGTCACTGGAACTCATTTAAAAAACAGTTTGATACTGTGATGGGAGGACAATAAATGGGTATTCTGGAAGGATGAGATTTCATGGACTTAATCTGAATTCATCTTGTGATCTATCCCACAGAGGAATCCCCCCACACCCACCTCTCTGATCTTTGTTCAATAGGTTTAATTACTCTCTTCAGTTAAGTCCAGTGAATTTCTTCTGTGCTTGTTCTCTTGTAGCGCAGACAAGGCATCAATGTGGGGTTATCGAGTGCAGAGTGAAATGTTTATAGTGCTACAGGAGCTCTTCCATGTGCTGCTTCAGTGGGTCGCCTGCCTCGGAGGATTCGATCAATCCCAGTAACCTGATGTAAGTGTTACTCAGCAATTCTCTTGGGACTTTTTAAAGAGTGGTTTTACGATAGCAGGTACCTTCTTGTCAGCTGCTTCAGATAATGAATTTAGCAACATATGGTTATTTGAGCTGAAATTCTGTTTGGCGATACATGCATCAGCCACTCATCAACGGTTTGCTACGCTAATGGGATTCCCCATTATAAATCACACATTGCCAACACTGCCCCCACATAGGGGCAAATGGAACTTCAGCCTATTTATATACAGTACAGCACAACTTGACACCCTGAACTGTCACATTTATTCTGCCTAACACAACGATAGCAACAACATTCAACGCACACAGAAACCAAATACAAATCGTACTTACATTCCTGTTTAAAGGTGAAATACTCTGTCAAATGTCTACATTCATGGTTCCCACGAAGTAAAAACAAGGTTTTTGGATACAAGATTTTCAAGGCCCAAAGGTACAACACACACTGGAAAACAAAAGAAAGAGTTAGGAGATAACGACCAGAGGATCACTTGAAACAAAGCACACTCATTACCAGTAAGTCAAACTGAGAGGCCATCCGAGTGTGACTTGTGGGGAGAGAATCACATTTCATCACTGCAATTTCTCACAGATCAACCGGATCAGTTTTGGCAAATTTAGATATGGGTTTAATCTGCAGATCTTTCAAATAGGATTCCTAAAATAAGGAAACTGGGAGGATGTCATACCAGGTAGTGGGAACTCTGGATTGGCACTATTTGCTTCTTACACAATCTACCATTGAGGCAGAGTTCCCGTGACTAGATTCAATGTACTTCCAGTTACTGAGATACCCATGCAGTTTCTTAAAGGAATGCAGTTATAACCTTTGGATATTAATGTCGTATCCAATGTCAAATAAGCTCAGTGTAAATTATCACCAATCTATCTGCACTCAGTTCTACCATGCTCAGATAATTGCTTAATTCACATAAACTATGAGTTGGAGAAAGAGACAAGTGAGAAAATAAACTGGAATTCTTAGCCCCTAGAATGTTAACAACATATTCCAGATTTTTACAGATCTTACCCTCGAGTATTAGAAACCACTATCACTGTCAGGACACACAGCAAAGGAGGGAACAATAACTCACCGTCAGGATTCTACGGGAGGGGAGGGGAGGGGTGATTCTCACTAACAAGATCTTTAATAACAAGGACCTTGCATTTGATATAGTGCGTTATCACGTCGTTGAGACATCCCGAAGTGCAGGAGAAATTTTTTGGAAAAAAGTACAACTTTCCAGAATTTACTCAGTCTTGTTTCCTCTCCCCCTAGTCAATTGCCCGATGAGAGTTACTAAACAAAATAAGTTTTTGAAAAGTCATTCTTTTCATCTCCAAATAATCTTGTGAACAAACTTCCTGTAATTCAAAACAACATTATTCAATCCTGACCATTACTTACACTGTCTAATCTACCCACGCACGTCAGTGCTAAACTCACTCCACTCTACACAGCATTTCAACATCTGAGGCAATATAGGTTCAAGGCTTTGAAAGTTACTGTTAAGCATGAATGTAGTTGGTTTTGATAGATGTCTTCCACATATCTCCACATAATTCCTCCAATTCTGTGATCACAGTCTGAGTTGAAATAAAAAAAAACTTGCTGACATTGCACTGCTCATCCCTTTCAGCATCAAACATTCAAAGCCACTATCTACACTCACACAGAGGTGGCTGAACCAAAAATTAATGTAACTTCTTCCTATGGTTTGTGATCTGATTGGTTTCCATTTGCCCATCTCCATCCTGTAAAAGGGATTGCTCGCACCCAACTTCCCAGGCACAATGCCGGCTGCTGCAGTCACAACTCAAACATTAACTTATTTTTATTTTCATTCGCTGATTAACCTGCTGGATGTCAGCATCATTTGGGAATATCCAGCATCCACAAATTTTTTTTTAATTTCTATTCAATTATAAGGACCTAATTATAATACCCTCATGTTCAGAGTGCTTGATTATACTTTTTGGGGTCAGCCAGGTGTCTGACACCATGCTTAAGAGTATCCAAACCAAGCTAAGATTTCCATGCAGCCCATCTACACATGGAAGTTCCAGAGATAGATCGTTGGAATGGAATACACACTCTCTCCCTGCATTAGGTATTAGGTAAACAGGCATAGATTGGCAAGAGTCAAGGCTTGGGGACCCCAAAGTGTGCGTTGGGGTACTGCCAGTTAAAACTGCATAGCTTGCCATTGATATTGCTGTCTGGCAAACTTTCCCACTGTTTGTCTAGCTGGACCACCCTACCCATTAGGGCTTTGGCTTGCAGGGTTAACAGGAGCTGAATGGGATGATTCCCTGACCCCAGTGACTGGTCTGTCCTGCCTCAACAACTCCTTGTGGTAGCACGTTCCACATTCCCACTACTCTCTGTGTAAAGAAATTTCTTCTAACTTCCCTATTTGATCTATTTGTGACTATTTTATATTGATGGCCCCTGGTTTTGGTCTCCTCACAAGTGGAAACAACTTCCCTATGCTTACCCTATCAAACCTTTCATAATTTTAAACACCTCTATCAGGTCACCCCTTACCCTCCTCTTTTCAAGAGAAAATAATCCAAACATGTTCAGCCTTTCCTGATAGGTATAACCTTTCAGTTCTGGGATCATCCTTGTGAATCTCCTTTGCACCCTTTCCAGTGCCTCTACATCCCTTCTATAATGTGGGGACCAGAAACGCACACAGTATTCTAAGTGTGGTCAAACCAAAGTTCTGTAGAAGTTTACCATAACTTCCCTGCTTTTCATTTCTATCCCTCTAGAAATGAACCCCAATGCCTGGTTTGCCTTTCTTAAGGCCTTATTAACCTACGTTGCTACTTTTAGTGAATTGTGTATGTGTACCCCTAGATCTCTTTGCTCCTCTACCCCATTTAGGTTTTTATTTTCCAATGGATAGTTTCAGTGAATGAAGAATCTATGTAATCCTTTGCAATTCTATAAAATCCCTGTCCTCTCTTCAGAGACACACATTGATGTTCATTATGAGCTACTTGTTTAGTTCCATGGCCTAAATCTACTGAAATTACTTGATAAGGATCCCTGAATCTAAGACACAGGGAGATTTTAATAGCATATTGGAGAGAAAGAAAAAGTTCACTGTAATTCTAAGTCACCACATATTCCAAGGCACACCCTAATGTTGAAGGCATGTTAATAAAAGCCTTGTGTCTCAGATGTGAGTAAATATGGTAAGTACAATTTTGATAAGTTGGTAACCTCAAGTTGACCATTTGCATTCCACTTATCTACATCAAAAATACAATTGCTATTTTTCAATTCATCCACTTCATTTCTGTAGATTGTTGAATACTTGCACTGATCAACTGCCCACATAGTTTGGTACCATCAGCACATTTTATATTGCGGCTGCAAATTACTTCTCCAAGCTCTTTACAAATAGTGTAAACAGGATAGCCGAAGCAGACCTACACAGACTCCACTAGTCACTCCCCAGCAAAGCCTCATCCATCTGAATGGGATCGGCTACAAAGCATGGTGCAGGCCAGCTGCCTCAATAAATCACTTATTACTTGGAAAGTGGACTGCGGTCAATCCACATAGTGTGCAATTAGCCTGCTTATCTCCTATATGCTGGCCAATCTTGTATTCAAAATAGCCAAATTCTGGTTCCTTTTGGTCTCAATTGACTTTGCATGCACCAAGCAGCAAGTGATGTCACCGCCAACTTCCTGCTTTTAAAAGAAAAAGGCATCAGGAAAAAGGCAACCACAAGTTCTCATTTTTGCAGAAAACAGAAGTGTTTTGTGATCCACACTCATCAGTTGGACATTTATTCTTTTAGCAAAAGAATCAGGAAGCTAGGGCTATTCTTGCACGTTTACAAGAACTGGGACTATATTTATAGAGAAAACTCATCATACTTACTTCAATGCTGAAGTACCCTCTGTCCACATAGTCCCCAAGGAAGAGGTAGCGGGTGGAGGCTGGTGAACCGCCCACTTCAAACAGCTTCATCAGATCGAAGAACTGTCCATGGATGTCACCACACACTGAAAAGACAGCAAGAAAAGGGTTTACTGCCTTCACTCAAACCATTTATTTGTTGTTGAGTTTTCCATCCTTTGCAACTCCACCCCACAGTCTCTTGGCCTTGTCTACTTCCTTGTCTCCTTCAAAGCCTATTTCAAGACCTTCCTTTTCAATCACTCCTTCAGTCTCTCCACCTCTCCTGATCCAAACCCCCAGCTCGAGTGCAAATCCTTGACTGTCCTCCCGTCGTGAAAAGCGCTATACAAATGTAATTTGTTGTTGTGGTTAATTCTCGTTTCCAAGAGTAATGCGATTCTATTAGCAACCGAACAATTGAATCACTTTGCATCGCATATGATCTATAGACAACTTGAATTTCCTACATGTATAAGCCTTTTTAAAAAGTGCTGCTGGACATCAGAGGCCTGAAACTCCACCTAGTCTGAACCTAAGAGTAATTCCAGCCAAGGCATTGCAGCTGACATGCTCAACTCCTCAAACATGGGGTGGGGAAGAAGAGGAAAAAGAGGGGGATAAAGGAGGAAAGGGAGAGAGGGAAAGACAAAGAATAAGGACAGTAATTTAAACAAATTAAATTCAGCCAGCAAATTAGTCATTTGAAGTTGGAATTTAAAACCCACAACCTATTCAGCTTTAACATCCAGCTGGCATGACTGAAGAGTTCAAGACCAATGTTGCAGTGCCAATAAATGTTACACCTCATGCTATATTGCTGAATCTTCTTGTTATTCATGCCTAAGGAAAATAATCTTGCTTTTACCCCATCAAGTGTGTAACAAGCGTATGAAAGAGAGGAACATGAAGGGGTATGGGGATAAAGCAGGGAGGTGGGTTTGAAGCGATATCATAATTACTCTCTGACATCTCAAGGTGCTCAACAATCCTGGGCTGCCACCTGAGCTCGGGTTGGAACCGAAGGGAATGGAGAGTACTGGTGACCAAAGATGACTTAAATGCAATGGTGATATTAAAATCTTGTAAAACATCCTCATGTGAAATCCAAAGTGTACACAGTTTATTTTGAATACTGAAATCCACCATGAATAGCCTGATTCATGTTTGGTTTAAGCTACTGAGAGTAAAAAAAATCATACTTTTAACGATAATTTGATAACCATTCAGCATCTGGAACAAAACTCCTTATTTATTTTAAAAAAGTACCAAACAAGGATCAAGCCTTTGTCTTCATATTAATTGTGGCCCAAGAAAACTAGGCAAAGATTCTTATAAGTGGTGGTCTTAAGAATGCATACTTTTTTTTTGTCATCCAGATGTCTGACACATATGGAAACCATCATTATGCTTCAGTATTCAAACCAGACTGAGGATTCATACAGGTACTTCAACTACATACAAGGGTTGCCTCATTGCCTGTGTCTGGAACGTGCACTCCCTCCCTGGAGGGACACACCCAGCTTACCAAATTCCAGAGAGTATTAGGCCAGGTTCAAGAGGCTTGAGGACCTTAGAGTGTGCATTGGGGATACTATTGTGGTTTAACCAAATTAAAGTGCTTCGCTTGCTTTTGAGATCTAGCAAGCTTCCCACTGCTTGTCTAATTAAGACCACCTTACCATTGAGGCTTTCGCTTGCAGGGTAAACAGAAGCTGAGTAAGGAGAATTCCTATCCCCATTGATTGGTCTGCCCTTCCAAGTCCCACCGATGAGCTTGCTCCAACCCGATCAGTTTCAAATGCCCAGGGATATTGAGGACCCTTCTAGCTCAAGGAACCAGATAATAATAATAATCCTTGTATTTGATATAGCGCATTACCACGTCTTCTAGGCATCTCAAAGCACTTCACAGAATATACTGTAAAGTGAATTGACTGTTTTATGGGTGAAACCGACGAGATGACCAAGATTGCCACAGAGGGTGGCTCGATTCTGACATTCCATTGTCAAACAAGTTACCTTGAAGCCATTTGAAGAGAGTTACCTCTCTACAAACCAATCAAGGTGGATTTCAATGCCTGGATATATGAGTGTGTGTTCAAATATCAGGCTTACTCAGCGTCAGATGCTTTGTCCACATCCTCATGTGAGAAGCTGTGGCAAACAGTCCTGTCTCGAAACTGACTCCACCATGAGGATGCTCAGCGACAGGTCAGTGTAGGCAGGCACTACCTCCACCTTCATCCCTTCTTATTTACCACAAATCCACCTCATTGTTTGTTCTTAGACTTCACAAGTAGGCCAGAGGAAATTCCTCCACTGTATTCTTCGGAAATCAGAACTACAATGGAGAACTGTTTGAACACAGGTCTTATCTGCCACAACATTAACCTGCATCAGGACCTTGTATTCTTGAAGAGAGACATGAATGACCAGGATACCCTTGCTCTGTTTTCAGGGTGGTGCCTCCAGAGAGTGTACAGACAAACATTGGTGTTCACCACAACCCCCAGATACTAAGAGCATAGGAAAGGCAAATTGTATGTGTTTGAGTTCAGTTTCTCAAAGAAATAGTCCAACTTCCCTTAGTCAATGTATGGACAGGAACTGAGAGGACTGTGTACATGCTACATGATAGCATTGTAGGTTCAACCATTGTACAGTTCTGATGTGAAGAAAGATCGCTGAAGAATAATTGGAGATTTTTAAGAAGGTGCAGTTTACTAAACTACACAATGCTCCATGTAAGGTACTCTTGGGAATGAGTTAGGCAATTTAATTTTTTGCCTGTCACCTTCCCTTTCAAGATGAGCAACTTTCAAATCAGCAATACCAGCAAGGAATTATAATAATTACAAATTCTTAAATATGGTAGAGCGCCTTTCACATCGAGATGACGTCTCAAAGGACTTCACAGGATATACTCTAAAGTGTGATTTTATGAGAACTTGGAAGCTTTAGGTGTTCAGAGCTCTCAGGGTAAAAAGTCCAGCGAAGGAGAGGATCATAGGCTGGGAACCAAACACAGCTTTGGTAAAGGATGGAGTCAGATAAACAAACACTGAAGTTGCATTAAATTAGCAACGTTTCTCAATACTGAGTCTTGGATCTGAATTGGAACAATATATCAATATAGAACTGGAAAGAGCACCAGCGGGTGTCAGGAATGAGCTGTGGCAGAAAGGATTCTTCTTTGGTGTTTAAAGCGATTTAAACAATATCAATTTTACGGGTCCACGATTATATGAAAGCACTGAATGGGATTTTAATTTCTATTAGCACTTTAAATCACTGGAATGAAATCCCAGTGTTGAACTTATAACATGCAGGAAATCTGTATCATGTTTCATAAAGCAAATGTTACAGGACAGGTGAGTGAACATAAAGAAAATTATATCCCAATATTTATCAATGCCATTTCATGGATCTCTTCATCAGATTAAATAAATTCAACAATATTCAACTGTGTGCCAAAATATACTTGAATGTCCTCAATCTATTTGGGCTCAGGATTTTCAAACTGCATTCAATACAAGATACAGACATTTGTTCAAGGTCCAGTTTTGTTTGCAATGAAACGTGCATCAATCTACATTGTAAACCTAAGCGAAATGTGTTTGTTATCCTAAGTTATCCTTTGCAAGTGAGAGACCTGAGTTCAATCCCAGGCAGAGGGCGAAACCTTGGGCAAGTTTCCTTACTCCACACGCCTAATAATAATCCCTCCAAAACAAAAAACAGTAATAAATTGGTCATTTTCAATCTACGGCTGTTTGTGGGACATTGCTGTGCGCAATTGGCTGCCGCGTTCGCCCACAAATATACAGTCAATTCACTTTACAGTATATTCTGTGAAGCGCTTTGGGACGTCTAGAAGACGTGAAAAGCGCTATAACAAATGCAAGGATTATTATTATTATTAAGTGGGAAGAACAAATAATTCTGTCAACATCTCTCTGCCAACAGTTAATTTCCTTCCTCGACAGGGAATGTCGTTGAGCAACTAACAAGCGAGAAGTGTTGCTAAGGCACATCAGCATTCTGGCAGGAAAGTGTCAAAAGATTGACATCGAAGGACAATAAAGCAACAAACATATGGTCCTCCTCAATTGTGCGATAAAGAGCTAATAAGAACTGATTTGTTAAAATTACAAACTGTCAGTACGTGGTACGATCAATGAGGAGGAAAACATCAAGGTAATGTACTGTACAGCCATTGGAACACTTCTCTTTCATTATGCATTATCCTAACTCTAGGATACATAGAACTATTCACTCTGTTGTTGCTCAGTTCTGAGGACTCCCAGGAAATTATTCATGCAAATTACTACAGGACTACTAAAAAAAATGTTTTTAACAAGAGTGTGGAGCTTCTCTCTTCCACTCTGTTAACAGTGTCTGATCTGCCGCTTGGAAGCTGCAGACTTTCCAGGAGTTGTTAGGTAGCGGGGGGGAGGGGGGGGGGGTAGAAGAGAGAAAGGAAACAAAATGTTGGAAGTCAGAATCTTGGACTTTGTCTGGGTACATCCCCTTCCAGGCAACTAGAAGCAAGTCTAGGTGGACTGGAGGAGACCTGACGATATCTCACAAGCAGATGCACTAAGCTGCCAGGTTCTCCCTTTATTGTGTAAGATTTGGCTGAGCTGAGTTTTGCTGCTTGAACATGTGCACCAAGTCACACGATTACATTGACCATTGGACGGGCTGGAATAGGGTGAAATCAAACTGTAAATAATATCAGGGTACATGAAAATACACAAATGTGTCAAAATATATACAGCAATGGTGGCCAACCAGTGGCTCTCAGGGATGCCAAGAAACTCCCCCTTCCCCCAAACATTTGCACGAATCTAGGTAAGTCCATTTTCGATGGGTAATGTGTTTTCAGTTTCTCTTGATAGAATATTTCTTGATTTTTGGCACAAGTCAAGAAATATTCAATCAAGAACATTTATGTTGTTGGCTAACCATAAAGGTTGGCCTTTCTTTTATTTTTTAAAATATATATTTATGTATAAATATAGTATTTAGTACAACAGAAATCCAAAACAAAACACAACATCTTCTGTTACAATTTTTCCCTCGTCTCCAGATGCAAAATACA